AAAAGTGGGGAGAAAGAAAGGAAGTAGAGCAGGGAGGAAGGAAGGAAGAAAGGAGAAAAGGAGGGAGGAAGGAAGGAATGAGAAAGGGAAGGAGGGAAAAAGAAAGGGATGGAGGAGGACAGAAGGAATGAGAAAGGGAGAAAAGGAGGAGAACAGAAGGAAGAGAGGAAAGAAGGAAGAAATGAGGAAGGGAGCAAGCTAGCCGAGGTGGCGCACTGGTTAGAATGCAGCATTGCAGGCTGACTCTGCCCACAGCCAGGAAGTTCGATCCTGACCAGCTCAAGGTTGACTCAGCCTTCCGTCCTTCCAAGGTCGGTAAAATGAGGACCCAGATTGTTGGGGGCAAATAGGCTGACTCTGTAAACCTCTTAGAGAGGGCTGTAAAAGCACCGTGAAGCAGTATATAAGTCTAAGATCTATCATTATTGCTTCCAATCTTCCAAGCCGGCTTCTAAAAAACAAAATCCATGGGGGAAGCCGGCAAGGAAGGGCAACCCCATAATGTCCTGCTTAACGACCTTGGCAAATAGGTCATAAAATCTGATTCGGTCATGTGACGCTTCGCTTACCAACCACTTAATGATGCGTGATGTAAGTGGAGGACTACTTTACATTAGGGTGTATGACTTCGGTTTCCTAGTCTGAGCTACCTTGAATGGCTCACCGGGGGCTTTGGTCGGGTGGGCAAAGTGGCCATCTTGACTTTTTTGACCCCCGAATGCCCTCCGGTCACCACTGCCCCTCGGCTGCGTCAGCATGAGAGTTTGTCTCCCCAGGTACCTGGCCAGCGGATCTGGGGACACCACCGTGCGCTTCTGGGACCTGAACACGGAGACCCCACACTTCACAGCCAAGGGTGAGTCTCGACGTGGGGAAGGGAGACTGGCTAAGCCACTGCTTCTCAACCATGGGTGTTTGAAGATTGGTGGACTTCCACTCCCAGAATTCCCTAGCTGGCTGGGGAATTCTGGGAGTTTGAAGTCCACCCGTCTTAAAAGTGTCCAAGGTTGAGAAACATGGCTATGTGCCCTGATGGCTGGGGAATTCTGGGAGTTGAAGCCCACCCGTCTTAAAGTAGCCGAGGTTGACAAACATAGTTGTGGAGTTTAAGACTTTATAATAGCCTCCTCTCATTTCCTGCCATAGCAGCCCTAGGAGGTAGGTTGGAATATAATCACTCAAGGAAATACTAAGCAAGGGAGGGCATGCTGGCTGAGGGATTCTGGGAATGGAAGTCCACCCCTTTTAAAGGATGCTGGGTGGGGAATTCTGGGAGTGGAAGTCCATGCATCTTAAAAGTGGCCGAGGTTGAGAAACATGGCTTTGTGTCATGCTGGCTAGGGAATTCTGGGAGTGGAAGCCCACCCATCTTAAAGCAGGCTGGCTGGGGAATTCTGGGGTGGAAATCCACTCTTCTTAAAGCAGGCTGGCTGGGGGATTCTGGGAGTGGAAGTCCACCCATCTTAAACTATGTTGGCTGGGGAATTCTGGGAGTTGAAATCCTCCCATCTTAAATCATGCTAGCTTAAGAATTCTGGGAGTGGAAGCCCACCCCTCTTAAAGCAGGCTGGCTGGGGAGTTCTGGGAGTGGAAGACCACCCCTCTTAAAGCAGGCTGGCTGGGGAATTCTGGGAGTGGAAGACCACCCATCTTAAAAGTGACCGAGGCTGAGAAACACTGGGCCAGAATAAGCATCTTGAGATCTTTGGGGGTCCATGTTCAGTCCCTCTCTCTCCTTCATTCTGCCACAGGTCACCGCCATTGGGTGCTGAGCATTGCTTGGTCGCCTGACGGAAGGAAACTGGCCTCCGGGTGCAAGAACGGGCAGGTGAAGATTTTCGGCTTTTTTTTTTTTATTTCCTGAGCTGGGTTGTGTGCCATGTCCCCCTGTGGAAGACACAACTCTGCTTGGAAACATTGAGGTTCATGAGGACTAGAGGAACCTACAGGCAGTCCTCAACTTAGAAACCACTCCTTGGAAGTTACAAGGGCCCTGGATAAAGTGACTTGCGACTGTTTTTCAGCCTTAACAACGGTCAAAGCCTTCTCAGGGTCACGTGATCAAACATTGGGCATCTGTTGGGGGCAGTTGCTGTGTTCCCAGGGTCACGTGGTTGCCATTTAGGACCCCCAGAGTCAACGGGGGGAAGCCAGATTCGCTGAATGACCGCACGATTCACTTAACAACTGTGGCAAAAATAGGTCGTAAAATGGGACAAAGCTCACTTAAAGGGGTTAACCAACGCCTTGCCTTGAACCTGGAAAGGAAATATTAAACAATGCAGGTTGGGTAACAGCGGTGTTACACGCACCATCCTGGGGGTGGGGCGGTTAAGGCTGCCCGTGCTGCCGCATTCTTCGCTAGCTATAGCGTGTGAATACTCTTCAAGGGGAGTCCCACGTAGGGCTCATTGCAGTAGTCAAGACAAGAGATGACCCAGGGCATGCGTGACTGAGCACAGGGCTTCACGATCCAGGAAAGGAGGCAGCTGGCCTTAAAGTTGCCAAGTCTGCTAATTCAAAGTAGCCATTTTTGGTCTACTGGTTAAGGCGTCAGGCTAGAAACCAGGAGACAGTGAATTGTAGTCCTCCCTTAGGCACAAAATCCGGCTGGGTGACTTTGGGCCAATCACCAGCAGGTG